CAGTAACTAGAATGTTAATGAATGTCCTGTGACATACCATTCAGTAGGAATGGAAATTGGCAATCCCATATGATCATTAAACCAATTTCCATTTATATTGTTTCAATCATAATATTATTCTTCCGATAATGTGAAAAACAGCAATATATCAGAATTCTCATTACAGTATTCAAAACTCTGAAAGATTCTGTGACCAACTGGTAGTACCCGAATGATACTGCTGTGAAACACAAAGGATGATCTTGTAGGAGATGACCATGCTGAGCCAGAAGGAAGGGTTAAACGCGCCATAACCGTGTTTCCCTGAAAATTATATCTATCCCGAAAGTAAGCCCTAGCTTGATTTTACATGTGTGCCTAATATAAGCCCTACCCCCCCCCAAATAATCCCCAATTAAGACCCTACCCACTCCGTCCCACGATCTGCTTATACGAGGTGGGGCGAGGTATGTGTGTAAAAATCAAGCTAGGGCAGGGGTGGAGGGAAGGACCTGCCCTATGCGCCCAACACTCGCTTACTTCAGGACCTCACAGCCAGGCCTCCCACACCTCAACACCTGCCTTGCCTCATGGTGGCGGCACCAACAGCAGCCCCGTTCAGCAGGAGCCTGTGCCCACTGATTAAATGCACACCAACACTTCCATTTAATCCTGCATTAAATTTGCCCCATTCTTCTGAAGACATCTCTGCTCAAAACTTTTAATGTAGTGGTTAAGGTGCTGGTTTAGAAGACTGAGTTCTAGTCCATCCTTAGGCATGAAAGCTATCTGGGTGACTCTCTTAGTCTAACCCACGTAACAGAGGTGTGGTTATAGAGAACATAGGAAAAGAAAGGAAAATTAGGTAAGTTCAATGCCTTGAGTTGCTTATAAAGTAATAAAGGCAGGATTAAAAATCCAATAAATGAATAAATAAAGCATGAATTGCAGATTTTATAGGACTGGCCTGGTTATGAATGAGAAATGGCATTGGTCACACTTAATGATTCCTGTGCAACCATACTTGCTCTCCTTGACCATCAGTATTCTGATGATACTCAACTTTACATCTCCACTGCAGTGATCCACGAAATGCTATGGCTGCCTTTCTCATGATTCCTGGAAGCTGTGGGGGCTTGAATGAAACTGAAACCCTGGCAAGACCAAGTGGATTTGGGTCATGGAGATTCAAGACCTAGGGCTTTGACATTCTTGATTCTGGATGGGGTGGCATTACCCCAGATAGATTTGGTCCACAACTTGGGGGTTCTCCTGGACTGACAGCTCCTGCTCAAAGAGCAAGTGGCAGGTATAGCTAGGAGACCCTTTGCAGAACTTCATTTTATGGGCCAGTTACAACCTTTCCTGGATCAGGAGTCCCTGCGCTCAATCACTCAAGCCCTAGTCATCATATGTTTGAACTACTGCAATGAGCTTTACATGGAGCTATTCTTGAAAAGCATTTGGAGGCTACAGTTGTTGCAGAATGTGGCGGTGTGGGCAGTTCTTAGGGCCCCTAGAGTTACCCATATTATACCACTGGCCTGTGAGCTGCACTAGTTGCCAATTTGCTTCCGAATGCAATTTGGTTGGTTTACCTTTAAAGTCTAGCATGGCATGAGTCCAGGTTATTTGAGAAGCCATCTCAACCCAATTGGACTGGCCTGCCACACCTGTGCTGGCAGGGAGAGCATTCTGCAGATTCTGTCGATCAAAGAATTTTGGCTGGGGGTCCAAGCGAAGAGCCTTCCCTGCCATGGCCCTTGCCTTTTGGAACATCTTACTCCCTGAGGCAAGATTGGTTCCCATCCTTCTGACCTTCTGCAAGAGCCTTAAGACCTGTCTGCCAGATGGCTTGGGGTCCCAATGGGGGAGTATCACACTAGAGGTGGTTGATTAATTAAGCCTATGGTGGTACAGTGATTAGAATGCAGCATTGCAGGCTAATTCTGCTGACTGCCGGCTGCCAGCAGTTCGGCAGTTTGATTCTCACCAGCTCAAGATTGACTCAGCCTTTCATCCTTCTGAGGTCAGTAAAATAGGACTCAGATTGTTGGGGGCAATATGCTGACTCTGTAAACTGCTTAGAGAGGTTGTAAAGCACTGTGAAGGGGTATATAAGTCTAAGTGTTATTGCTAATTAAGAGCCAATCCTACCTCCCTCCCCTCTCCATCTGACCCCATCCTTTCCCATCTTGGTACTATGGTTTTACTTTCATTTTATTTTGTTAGGAATATTTATCTCTGATTGTTCTAATGTTTTTATGTTGTAAGCCTCCCAGTAAATTCAATAAATTTTATACATACATACATACATACATACATACATACATACATATTAATAATAATGGCAGATGTGTCAAAATTGTTTTAATGTGAAATTTGTACAAATGCAAGTGACATGTACAATAAGCCACAGACTATACAAACCATATATTGAAAAACAGTTGTCTTCAATAATAGGAAAGTTTTTTTTTCATTTTGAAATGCTAGATTCTGCGTAGAATGTTAGCCCACATTGTTATGTGGGATGAATATACATTATATTGCCAAAGTCTATATAAGCTGTTTCTTGGCTTTAAACGTCTCCATTTCTGTAAACTTAAAAGCTTCCTGCCCATGAAACAAGAAAAGTCTTTTACATGGAATTGATCTATGTATATGTTCAAAAACATTGCTTTCTGAAAGCAGTGTTTCTTTCAAGGCTTGTTTGTTCTGTTCAAAGTTCCAAGCAGAAGCAGAAATGTTTACATAATTGTCCTGTCAGATGGAATTTTTTACTATGCACCATCCTACACTTCTACCACAGTCTGTTTAATATGGACCAGAATCAAGACTGGAGAGACAAGGAATAATGCTCAATAAGCAGCTTTATGATGAATGAACCAAATCATTCAATTAAAGAAGGAGACCCTGGTGTAGGAGTAGCCACTCAGCAAGCCTTTTCAACCAAAGAATAGGAAATACTGAGAGTGGGAGTGTTCTGCCAATTCCCCTCTAATATCATATGTTTCTATAGCTTGATATTAGTATACAGAACAGTTGTAACCATTTCCAAATATTACTCTCTTAGGAAAGGATGAACACAACTTGTTTGATCTCTGTTTTTCAATGCCAGATGTAACACTTCTGCCATGAGCCAAAGATTTTCAGGCCTCCATAATGCAATAAAGCAGGATGTAGCTATTGACTGAGATACTAAGCTTTGTGTAGCTACCGGTAGTATAACGATGCAGAATCATCAGAGCAGTAAGCATACGATGAATATAGTCTGTTACAACCCAAGGTAACAATCCATTCTGCTGTTTTCCATAAGTTTTCCAAAATATTAACAGCATTGCTTTTCAAAAACTTTTCATTCACTGTAGGAAATTTGAACTATAGTGCTCATGCACCCCAACTAGCATGGCCAAACAACAGGGATTTGAAAGTTGAAAAAATATGAAAGGTGACTTATCTGTGATCTATAATCAAGAGATACTAAAAGTGCTGAATATGGATGGCAATTTAAAAGGTGGTGTTCATTCTTCCACTTTTCTCATTATATAACTATAATAGACCAAGTAGCAAGAACAGCATGGTATGGAAAGGCTACTTAGAACTGAAGGAAATAAGAACTTTCAGTACATTTGAAAGCATATGAAAAAAGGTGTATTGACTTCTGTCGATATATTCTGTCAAACATATTTGTATAAAGATGAAATTAAATGTGTAAAGCTTAACAGAGTCAACAGTTTCAGGGACTTTAAAACCTTAAAGTACAGATTTGATCTTGAAAAAGAGAAAGGTAAGAAGTTTAAAGAACCAAAGGCCAATGTATGTGGAATCAAACATAGTTGCAAAGATAAAAAGGTTTGGAAAGAAATAATGGATTATCTTGCTGAAGATTACTGTTAGGTATGTTTCTGATCACATTCATTATTTTCACTTACTATTTCATACTTCTTTTTTGTTCCTTTATACTGTTGCTTATCCAAAAATGGAATAGTATATGTGTGTGGATATATATGTATGTAACATTTTAAACAAAATGTATTTCAGACAAGATGCCTTTAAGAAATACTAGTACTGTATACTAACTGAATAAACACATCTTAGCTTTTCTTCTGATGTGATGAGACCTTTGCCCAAATAAATAATTGTGCACTATTAGCACATGGAGATATGCTTTAAATAACTAATAGATATGGAATTCAGTGCATTCCACTGACATAAATACATGTAATAAATAAATCCTTGTCTATCACTTATCTATCCTTATCCAATAAATGTTTACTTTCCCTAAAAACCATGTTACCAAGACTCATAGACACATGGCCCATACTAATTATCAAGGGACATGAGATTTGCCACTGAATCTATGTTGTGAGCCTTTTATTAAAATTGGAATGTTTTTATAATGCAGAAATTATATATGTGGGGGGGGGTTCCTATATGTGGAACATACCCATTTTCTTCTGGAATGTTCCTTTCTCTGGTCAAGCCAGAATCAACATAAGGAATTCTACCAAAAGAGAAAAGCGCAAGAACTTTTGTGTATGTCTGTAAAAGGATTCTTGGAAACTTGCTTTATTAGCTGATCAACAGATGTTGTTTAGTTACTAAACATCTATAATTGCCTTCCTTTTTTAAGTGAAACTTTTTCTACAAAATGAATTTTTTTTAAATATACAGTATATAACATGATGAAAAAGTTCTAAGTATACAGAAGCCTGTGTGAAGTTCCATCCTGAGAATGTGTTAATACTTTCAGTTGACTTCCAGAAAGGCTGCCTGTAAATTCTATTAAATCTCACATCAGCCCCCACACATTCTTCTAATTCCGGTTTAGCCAAGCTTGGTAGCTCTTTCCTTTTCAGGTTTGTGAAAATGTGTGCAATCTTTTCTTCCATTATTTAACTGTTAATAATTGGAGGAAACTGACCAATTTAAATGGGGTAGGGAGTGCGTTAGCAGTTGCCACAGAAACTGCAATCCAATATAAATATCTTACTGCTTGTCTATTTATCATCTGTTTTCAGGGCAGTTTAAGCTGCTGGAACAAGACCGTGATATTAAGGAGCCAGTGCAGTATTTTAACAGTGTGGAGGAGGTGGCTAAAGCATTTCCTGAACGAGTTTACGTCATGGAGGAAATAACATTCAACGTTAAGGTAGCCCCTTAACAAATGTTTATCCCAAGTTAAATTGTTTATGTTAAACCATTTTTTTAACATTGCAATTGAGCAATATATTGTGCAAAAAGTAATTTGGGATTGTTATTTTGTCTTAATCTGTTTATTTTGCTTAATCTGAATTTGAGGGTTATTAATTTTACAAGATATGAAGACCTTTTCAAGGAGGGAATCATTTCCAACCAGCAATGTTCTTTTTCTGTGTTCAACTAGAATATTGATTCCAAATTTTAGACAGAGCTTCTTCTGTTGTACACCCCCTTCTTCACCTCTGACCCCTTAGATTTTATTTGGTAAAGAAGCAGCTGTTTCACTCACTCTACACTACGTCTTAGATCAAATAGACAATAGATATAATATCTACTTTTCAACTCAGATGACTGAGAATAATCAATATTTCTAGAACAGCAAAATAATAATGCATTGATTTAAATCTATAGGAAATCAAACAAAAATAAAATGGTGTATATAGAAACAAAAAGAGCTCTTGTAGGTTTAAATGCAAAAATCAGATAATGTGAAATAAGACAACTACTCACAAATTCATGGGTGCAGTTTCTAGAGAATGTGCCCCTTTCTACTACAAGTCTTGTAGGATGGAATGAACTTGGTACATTTGACAGACTTCAGTGATTTCCATTGAGAGAAAGAGGGAAATATAATTCCCAAGTGTAATGGAGATTTTAGGGACATAAAAAAAATATTTTATTTATTTTTAACAACTAATATAACTGCCCATTTCATAAAAGATTTAGCAACTTTCTTGTTCTATAAAAGTTCTACTCAATGTGTCAACGGCAGCTGAAGATGAGCTTCAAAAGCAACAGATTCTAAATAAAAATTGATGATATTGATTGTAGTATAGAATTGATTAATCCCTGTTCTTTGGAGATTCTATTCTTCAATCTTCATGTCTTGCTTCAGTTGTCTGTTTTTTTTAATTGTAGCAACTATGAGATATACCAGATATTGTGTTTATTGAAGTATTATCATTATTAAGGTCACTGACCAACAAAATTTACATTCAGAACTAAAAGCCATCTCATTATGCCAATAGTCTAATCCAGGGGGTTTCAACCCCCAATCTGTGCACCGGCACTGGTCCATAGCATGCCAGAAACCGGTCCATGCAAACTAGCAAAGCCCCATCCACAGAATGCAGGCAGCATGCAAAACCTCTGGTCTACGGAAAAACCTCTCTCCACAAACCGGGCCCTGATGCCCAAAAGGTTGGGGGCCACTGGTCTAATGTACATACCATAAGAAAAACTAAACTAAAAACTAAAATTTAAGATACTAGAACAGATTTAAAAACTTAATAATAATACCTTTAAGATTATAAACATAACTGGAATTACAAAATCAGCTATGAATTTAATGCTATATAAATCTATGCAATTGGTATACTGTTCTACCTATTTGTTGTACCAAAAATTATATATAATTCTAAAAATGACTAATCGACTAGAAGTAGGAATGGCTAATACAGAATATAAAATCGGTAAATCACTTAATTCTATAGATATTTCCAAACTGAATATTAATAATGTAACAATAATGGCACAAAAATTTAGGAAGTGGATGCAGAGATTAAAATATAAAGTAATCAGAAAAAAAACTCAAGTATATGGGTGTTGCCTTGATTGTTCTAATAGCTTCAGTGTCTAAGTATGTGATTTATGGCAAATAAGCTAATAAACTGTATGGAATAAAATGCAATCAGCATCTAAGTACGTAACCAGCAAAGTAGTTCGTGGAAATCACAAGATGATCTTTTTGTTTCACATCATCATTTTGCTACTTGGAGAAATTTTGTCTGTAAATTCAAAGGTTTGCTTAAGTGTCAAAATTCATAGTTCTTGTAAGGCATATTCTCCAGAAATTGTCTCACATTATTTGTTTTTTAAAAAACAAAACAAAACAAAAAACCAGAGCCATAATCAGCTGAGCACTGACTTCTAGAACACTATGGTGTTCTAATAAAATGGATTTAAATTACAGTAGCATTGGTTGAATCAGGTGGAGAATTTTGAGCCTGTTGATTTGAAGATATTTAAAAAGTGCATCAAGATTAGAGACCAAAATATAAAACATTAATGTTTATGTTGATTAAGTATTACTGTGTTAAAAAGAACAATAAGTCTAAAATAAAATTAAAATTAATGTAAGTAGTACTATACTGAATTTGGTAAGCAGTGATTATGGGTTTTGTATCTCATTCTGATTTTTAGCCAGAGTGGTTTATAATACTACAGTGACAATAAAAATAACAGTTAATCACAATTAAAACAACTTAAGTTAACATGAAGTAAATAGTTTACATGAAAAATGCTTATTGCTAATCTTCTTATCTATTATTAGTTATTTACTGAATTATCCTGAACTTCAGCACTGCATGAACTACTTTTTATTCTTTCTGCAAATATTTGACCCTATCAATTAAGCTTCAAATCAGCATAGTCATATGCTTGTCTGCCTTTCCTTGGTTTGAGTCTCCTGTGAATTGCAGAAAACCTGTCTTGGTTCAGTAGATGAGGATAGCAAATGTACACATACAATACTAAATGCACTCTCCAACTTGGTCAGTAAAAGAAGGCTTTGTTTGAAAGCTCCAGTTCAGTTTCTACTGCTTAAAAACAATAGAGTTTCTAATTAAGGGATAATGGGTTTTTCATATCTGGACATGCTTTCCAGGAAGTTATGTAGACCAGGATGGGTATATTTCTGCAGTAGTGGGATTGCTTCAAGCTTGTGAAGTCTTTTATTGTCTTACTAGACTCTCAAGTTCCACCAACTAGGATTAGTTACACTTAAAATGAAAAACCTAGGAGCCTAACAATTTGTTTTGAATACAGTATTTCATTGTATTTCATGCATATAAAAATCCATTCCTGGTTCCCTAGACCAGGTTTTTTTAACCTTTTCACAGATTGTACCATTTTTAGGACATGACAATATTTGAGTATCACCAGTGATTAGCGAGGTGTCAAAAGCTTGATGACTTAAAAAAAAGCGGGAGATTTTGGGTTTTACTAGTTAGATTCATTTGTTGTTATAGAAATGGCTAGTGTCATGGTTCCAATAGATGAAACCAGTAAAAGAACTTCAAGGCAAGGGGAATTCTTCCTTAAAGAACATTTTATTTAGGAACTAAAGTATGGGCACTTACATAGTTGAATCCAAGAATGAGATTCCCTCCTCCCAGATACAAAGTAACAAATTGCAATTCCCACCCCACAAGAGCTGTCATAAATCACATTCCCCAAATGGCCCTTCAGCCCACCAAAACCTTATCAGAACACATCCTTGAGTTTCCACACTTCTACATTGTTATGGCTAGCTAAACCCCCAGGCATTTACCCCACCCCCCTTCTACATCTGAACTCTAAAAGAATAGAAGGGTACATTAAAAGCAAGAGAAAAAATGGCTGTTGGTTCTCAGTTGTCAGAGCGACAACATCCATCGTCACAGCGTTGAGAGCTAGTTTATAATATTATGGAAAAGTAAAAAGTTGAGGTTCAATGTTAATGCTTCCTTGTACTGCAACAGAGGAAGTCAGAAATCAAAGCCTTTTCTTTTCTTTTTCCCTTCTCCCCCTCTCTTTTCCCCCCTTTTTCCTCCCCACTGTGTCCTACTATTTGCTTTTGTATTTTAGTTTTTGTATTTTATTCTATAATCTAATAAAATAAAACTAAAAAAAGGAAAAAAAGTACCGGTTTTAATTTCTTCTGTGGCAGTTCCTTTGCTGAATCACTGTCCCTTTACACTGACAAATGTATGATGAATTTATCTATATTTATTAATATGCACCACTACCTTGATGGTCAGGTGGCTGGTTGGCCCTTCTTCTTCTCTCCTTCTCCTCTCTTTCTCCTCACCCTCTCAAAAGCCCTCCTCTCTTTCACACACACACATACAAAAGCCTTTCTGCCTCTCTCTCACACATTCACACATACACACAATTCCCCCCAAAAGCCTTTCCTCTCTGCCTCTCTCTCTCTCTCTCTCTCCCTCTCTCTCTCTCTCTCTCTCTCTCACACACACACACACACACACACACACACCCCTCCCCAAAAGTCTTTCCTGTCTCTCTCTCTCTGACAAAAGCCCTTTCTCTTCTGACTCTTTCTCTGGCATCTTTTTTTCCTCCCTCTCCCACCAAAACTGCCTACTTTTATATTCCTTTCTGTCTTCGCCCTCCTCCTCCTTTTTCTTCCAGGTGTGCCGGAAGTGCCGATCCTGGGACCTTTGTCTCACCTCAGCAGCAGCCCTGCAGCTCCTGAAGACTCTGTCTCAGGGCAAGTCCTGCACTACGCCACTTTGACTCGTTCCCTCCCTCACTACACTTGGCTAGGCTAGGCAGGGCTGCGTACCACCTGCCATGTGCCAATATATCATCAGTGGTACGAGTACAACCAGTTGAAAAGCCCTGCTCTAGATTTCCTTTTGTTCTGCTGCATAGTTTGAGATGGCAAAGGAGCTATTTTATCATTTCTATTATTAAACAGTTGGGAGTGTGAAATCCTGCACCATTGTACTAAAAATAGCCCAATATTCTAACAGTAGACCCCAATCTACTTTCTGGAATACTAACAGATTTATTAACACTAGCAGATTAATTGACACTAATATTTAATCATTTATCCCAAAATTATTTAAGAACCTTTACAAAATAGATAAAATGATTAATTTGATAAATAAAATAAATGCCCAAAGAACTCAGGCCTGAAAACATGATATCATTACTCACACACACATAAACACACTAAAAAGTAAAAGAAGAAGAAATGGCTATTTTCCAATTCACTGAAATAGCTGAAGAAAGGCAAATAGTAAAATGTAACACTAAAAGAGTGTGCCCAACTAAACACACTAAATCATCCCGAGAATCACTGATGGTGATTGGTGATAGTATTGGAAGCTGAAGAAACAGAAAGTTAACTTTCTTTAGCTAGCTCATTACTCCATTTTGAACGGTTGTAGTGATTCTAAAAATGCTTGCTTAGATATGACTAAGAATCAAAAGAGCAAAGGATATAAATGAAAGTAATATTAAATCTGGCAAGATAGCAAGTCCTTTGCAGGAAGATAGTATTTAGAATTATCTATAGAGACTATCAGGACATTAGCTACATGAAAAAGAAGTCAACGGATGAGAGAGTCAAGGTTTTTCTTCAAGTGTCACAAATTTTATGGATGAAACTTGGATGCCATATTGAAATGTACCGAGATCTTTCTTACCTGGTGGGAAGTTTGAGGCATTTGAAAAAAGATGAAGCAGAGGAAGCTTCATAGAAAGAAAGTACCACACTTAAAGCAGAGTTACTGAATTGTTCTAAGTGGCAGAAGAAGTTGGGGATAGAATCTGGAATATGGGAGAGGCTTCTCCACAAATAATTTGTCACTGCTTTAAGTACAGATGATGAAAGATATCTCAAAATTACCTTGTACATTTAAAAAATATACAATTCCCCTACTTCTCTGCACAGTGTTTGTTTTCTTGAAAAATTAATGTTAGCTTGAATGTTTGTCTTGTCATGGATCTTCTTGGAGTTAACTCTCAAATCCACTTACAGGCAAATTGTTTTACATTCCTAGGTATAGTCCAGCGATACCTGGAGAGCCATAGTCTTTTCATACTTGCTTTTCTATTAATGTCCAAATCAAAAGCTAGACAGTAGGATTTATGGACTTGAATAATATTACAGTATCATTTCCGTTAATGAGAAAATCCATTATGCTTCCTTTTACTGAAAGGAAGGGAGTGCAGGTTATACAATGGCAATGCTGCCAAAGGGCCCTAAAAAGATCACTTCAGTATTCTAATTCAGAAGATAATTCTTCAACAAGTTTCTGCTCCAGTTAAAGTAAATGCAAGCTCATATAATAGTTAACTTAAACTTTCAAGTCCCTAGAGGCAAATACTTTCAATTAACCAAATCATTATTTTATTGCCACAAAATAGCAAGGGTACACAATCTTAGTTCATTATTAAACTCTTTTACTAAACATTTTTAGAAAACAAGGGACTAGAAGCTGTCCAATATGGCAAGAAAAGTATTATTTTGGGGGCAAGAGTTTTGTGTGGATCATACACACCAAGAATTGCTGTTTCCCATGTTTTCTTTTGATTATTAAAGTGATCTGCCTCTTTTTCAGGAAAGTTCTTATCACTTATTTTCATCAAAATTAAAAGTAGATAATTTCACTGTTTTTTAAAAAAATATAGTGTAATGTTTTGTAGGGAAGCATTAAGCAAATGTTTTACAAAATAAAATACACATACTTGTTCTTCATAGCTATGATAATGTACATAGGATTCCCCGTATGATATGCAGATTTTCTTGAAGAAGTGATGTCACAGAGTAAAGATCTTTAATGGGGGCAGTGGAGGACTCTGGATTTTAATTGATAAGATGGTTGTTAATTTTCATGATGAATTATAATGTTTTGCTTTTGGGTCTGAATTTTGAACAACAATCATGTTCAATTAGATTTTTATTGTTTCCTGGATTAGCTGTATTGAGATAACACACCACTGGAATAACTTCCTGTCAGGAAATTCTGCAACTGTGCTATTAGCTTGATAAACTGTACATAACAAAGAGTTCAGTTTGAAATATTATTTCCTTTCCAATGTTCACATTAGATGGATTGTTTGCTAAACATATTACTGATTACTTTTTGTTTTCATATTTTTATACAAAAAAGTAAATAATAAATTAAAGTAGCGATGCTAAAGCTTTTATCTGGAGTAAAATCCCAGTGGGTTTTTCTTCTGAATAAGTTTATGTTTGCTTATTTTGTCTATTAGGTCATTATATAGGTCAGTTTTGATTCTACCCGCTAGTGCTGGAAAACTTTGAATAGGGTTCGCACCTTAGATGGTATCTGTCAAGACTCTCCATTTAAATGGGGCAGAGTGTCTTCCTTTGAATGTGACTGTGGGGCTCCCCGGCAGATACTGGATCATATGGTGATTAACTGTCGTCTGAGAGCTTATACAGGAGGACAAGTAGACCTCTTGCAATTAAAACTACCATGCTTAATTGGATAAATGACCTAGATATTAATAAATAGAATACTAATTTTATCTTTATGAACCAATGCATTTTAAAATGTAATTTTTAATTTAATATGTAACTTCTTGAATTTCTTATACCTTACAAAATTAACCATACATCTCCATCTTATGTGTATCATACTATTATGTTCTTTCTATACATCTTTACTCCTGCAATCCATGTCTTTCATGCCATACACAAACAAACAAATAAATAAATTATAGGCCAGTGAATGTTAACATCCAGAAATTATTTTCAAAAGACAAAAGATATATGATGCTGCTTTCTGTGTCCTAAAGTCATAATCAAGAGGCTGTAGACTTTCCTAGATTCTGTTGAAGGAGTTACCATTACATATGGTGTACACTGTATGTGAATATTGAAGATGCCCAGGCATGCCTGTTAGATTTGTTCCACTTTTGCATTTGCTTTGTGCAATTTCCAGTGTGACTGAAAGGGGTGGTTCTTTATTAGCCTGAATCTTAGATTGGAATGTTAGGTTATACATAACGTAGTTACCGTAAGGTGACCAACTTTTTTACAATGAAAAGGAGGACACAAATAAATTGAAGAAAAAATATCGTAAATAAAAGAAACATTTTATTCATTGCAACAATAATACAGACAACTTGCATGTGCAAAGTTTGCCAGCCAGGTGTTTTGGCACGCTCAGCAGCAATTCCTATTGACTTTCGAAAGCCAATAGTGGGAGTAGCACAGTTCATGCAAAAGTTGAAAACAAAACCCATCAAAAAAAGGTGCCAGAACGCCGTTCTGAGCATTCTATGAGGGAAAAAAAAGCCCTGCAGATTAGTCTTCAAATATCGAAAAGGAGGACATGAAGGAGAACACTTTTTGAGGGAGGACAGAACTTACAAAAGTAGGACTGTCCTTCCTAAAGGAGGACGTTTGGTCACCTTAGTTACCGAAATGTATATGAGGTAAAATATTTGATTTTAAAAGCCGATACATTTATGTGCAGAATTATGGCATGTCATTTCTTTACATATTAAGTTTTAGCATTTGCTAACTTTTTAAATTAACACTGCAGATCAGAAAGAAAAATGTTAATTTTTATTCTTAGTTGCAAATATGAAGTGTGATGATATAGATTAGGCAATCTAATTTGATTACTAGGCATTATTTACTTTTGATCACGTAATATTCATCCTTCAGAGTTTGCCAGCTGGCTATTTTCATGAAATAAGAAGCAATTATCTCTGGATGATCAGCTACACAATAAACTGGCCAATATTTTTATCACTCTAGTTGTGCTCTGTTTTCTAAGCTATAGTCATTGAGGTTATTTGTAGAATATATTAATATTTAATTTCAAGAAAGAGAGAGGGGGGAGGGAGAGATGCAGACAGCACACAAAACCACGCACCCTCTGGTCCGTGGAAAAACCTCTCTCCACGGAACCAGTCCCTGGTGCCCAAAAGGTTGGGGACCTCTGCTATAGTCCATAATTTCTGCAATCTAAATTCACTAGCCTTGCTGGCTAGAGCTATTGGTAACTGAATGTTCAAATTTCTAGATAATCACATTCATGCTTTCTTTTATTTTTAAATACAGAAGAGAGAGTGAAGGGGGGAAGGAATAACTATACTGCAACAAATTACAGGTAGTTAAATATAGCATTAAACTATAGTAGAATAGCAAAGAATCTACAATTACACCTCAGTGCTCATGAGCAAGCCTAATTGTATAAGGTTGTAGGTTTCTATACAATTTAAACATTTGCTGTTCTTAAGCTTTGTGGCATAGATTAATTATTTTTGTCTGATAAATTCATAATATTGTGTTACTCTTGATATATAGTTTCTTTAACAAAAAAAAGTAAGGTGATCAGTCATGTGAACATTCTAGAACAGTCTTTTTCACTTTCATACTATTTATGCACTGAATGTATAGTGTTATAGTCTAACATATAGAGAATACCAGGCAGAAATTGTACAAATTCTACTGTTCAGATTAGTTGGATTCATCCTCTAAGTTTAGAACTTGTTATGCTATTTTAATTTTGAATGCTGTGTTTTCTAGGTGGCTTCAGGTGAATGCAATGAAGACACAGAAGTTTATAATATTACTCTTTGCACAGGAGATGAGCTCACATTAATGGGACAAGCAGAAATCTTATATGCAAAATCTTTGAAGGAAAAGTCACGGCTCAATACCATTTTTAAGAAAATTGGAAAACTCAATTCCATTAGCAAATTGGGCAAAGGCAAAATGCCTTGCTTGATTTGCATGAACCATCGGACCAATGAGAGTATTAGCCTACCTTTCCAGTGTAAAGGACGATTCAGCACACGTAGTCCCTTAGAGCTGCAAATGCAAGAAGGGGAGCATACCATTCGAAACATCGTGGAGAAGACACGGCTCCCAGTCAATGTGAATGTGCCAAGCCCTCCCCCACGGAATCCTTATGACTTGCATTTTGTCCGTGAAGGGCACCGTTACAAGTTTGTTAATATTCAAACCAAGACAGTTGTGGTTTGCTGTGCACTATATAGTAATAAAATTATTCCAATGCACTTTCCTTTGCATTTAGCTCTTCCAAAGTTTACCCTTCCAGAAAGTCTTGTGAAAGGAGAAGTATGGCATGAAGCCTTTGTGAAGCACTGGTTTGGCCTCTGTCAAGAGCAGTTTGATATTGATGAATATTCTCGTGCTGTGAGAGATGTAAAAGCTGACTGGAATGAAGACTGCAAAAGCCCACAAAAAAGTCGACCCACCAGCCACAACCATGTGCCAAACTCTCTCAGTTATGCTCGGGATGAGTTGACCCAGTCTTTCCACCGTCTCTCAGTCTGTGTTTATGGAAACAACCTCCATGGAAATAGTGAGGTGAACCTTCATGATTGCAGAGACTTGTGTAATGAGTGGGCTTTATCTTCTCATGATGCTTTGCAAGATTCTAGGGATGGAAGCTGTAACTACCCTTTCCCTGAAATTAGTGAAGAAACAGTTTCTTTACCTCCTAAACTGGAACTTCCATATGAAGAACTATGGTTGGACAAAGAGGATAGGAAAGTGAATGATCAGCCACTTACTCGCTCACAGAGCGAAAAGAACAAATGTGACAACTACAGGAGTTCTTTCCGGTCCAAGGGTGGTACAGCTTCTCTGCCAGCACCTGGATCTTTAGTAGCAACAGCAAAATCCTCAGATGTTTCCCTACCTCCACCACCTGTGCCTCCTAAATCAGAAGCGGTAAGTTCCTAGCATTCTGCTTAATCCCCAAGATGGATGAAGTTCCTACCATATATATGGAACACTCATTTTTCATAAGGGGGTGAAGTAATCTGGATAGGATTGTGCCCAGTCAGCCTCTCTCAACCCATCAATCTCGTCATTCCCCATAGTTTATGGAGGAACTGAGAGAGATGAAGCGGATCAAGAGACGCTTAAGAGCGTCGCTGGCAGAAGACAAATGAATTTGACCAAACATGGATAAGAGCTGCTATTCGAGCCTGCTTTGTGGTGATTTGTGTGGTGATGTGGAAATACTTCTCAGCACAAATTGCATCCGCATCCTGGTGGCCTTCAGAATATGATTTCTGAAAAAGAATGTAAGTTTTAGGTAGATCCATAAGACTGAAGGTATTTTTATATTACTAGGTTTTAGTATATTTAGGACTAAATAGAAATAGGATTGGAAGCAATGCAGTTGTCAAAACTTCAGTGTAATATGTCAAACTGCCTAGTTTTAATTACTAATCTAACCATTATTCTGTGGGTCAATTACAGTTTCAGAACTGTTTTAAAAATAGCCCTGTGTACAACAGGTAGCAGTTGTCTAAACTGGATTTCGTCTGAGCAAGACTGGTTCATCATCCAGGAAGTTTCTGTTCTAGAATCAAACCTGAAATCCATCTGAAATATTTCTAGATATTTCAATTTTCCATCTGAAGAACCTAAATCAATTACTGTATGCCAGTGGTTCTCAACCTTTTTAATGCCGCGACCCCCAATCAGTTGTAAGTCGAGGACTATTCAACTGGTGCAGCACCATTTGCAGAATGGAACTTTTGGCGGGCTCAGCAGGGCAGAGACAGCCTGGACAATTCCTATTGGCTTTTGAAAGCCAATAGAATTAGACTCTATTCAAGAGAGTCTATTCTATTGGCTTTCAAAAGCCAATAGAATAAAAGGGAGGAGCACAGCTAAGGAAAAGGGGAAAAAATGGCAGACTGTGTTGTTTGGCGACCCCCGTGAAATGGTCATTCGACCCCAAATGGGGTCCCGACCCACAGGTTGAGAACCACTGCTGTATGCTTTTAAATACTTTCTGAATTACTTCCTTTTCTTATGAGAGAAAACCTTGAAATGTCTTTGAAAGTAAAATTTCACAATTTATTTTAAAGACGAGAGAGCAGTTCTGTATTTTGTTGAAATCTCTCCTTCAAGAGTTGTAAATAGTTCATTCATTGGAGCAACATGCTGTGATAATAGCATTTGTACCAGCTTTTTTAACCAGTCATCTTTCACCAGCTACCATCTGCCCTCTGCTGGTGGTACATAAGTAACATGTAAAATCCTCATTTTTAAAAAATAATTCTGGATCTCCTAAAAAAGAAAAGGACAGAATGCTTTACATTTTCAGTACAAAGATCATGATTTGGGTAACTTGGATTTATTGAAGGTGCAAATCGAAATCTGGGAGGACAATTAATTTGTTAACATTTGGCATTATAAATTCAAAGAGCATATGTTAATTAAAGAAGGGCAGCGCAGGAGCACTCAGTTGTGTCGTCCAAAAGAAGAACTGGTCCTTGAAGGTCAGAATCAACAGTTGAAGGCTACTGCTGATACTGTACTGCCATTTCCTATCTGTCTGATGGGAGAGTTGGCCTTGAATGGCTTTCTTTTCTTTCTTGTTCCATAACCTGGGGATTCAGATCAGTTTCCTCTATGTTTAGTAGTGTTATTCATCTACTTTCTCAATTTCTGCAAAGGTTACTGATCTGGTATGACCCTTACCCCCTACATACCAGAGCTACACATTGGAGGTGGTCGATCTCTATCACCACCACCACCCCAAGTGTCCTGCTCCCTTCTGTGCCATCTCGTGTCCATGATTTTATCTATTAATGTTTTTAATCTGTTATGTTTTTACAATGGATGATTATGTTTCTTGGTGTTTTTTATATTATAAACCACCCACAGTCATGGATATGAAATGGGCTGGAAATAAATTTTATAAATAAAAAAAGAATATGAGCTGCAAGTTCTCATATTCCACTTTTGCTTTAGGAACTCTAAGGGTCCTTAGATAAATAATTATTTCTTTATCCTTGTTTCATCCCTAATAATATTATTAGTTTTCAAGACACTTAATTACCTGCATGATGTGCTACATCATAATTGTGCATGATTTCAGGTCAGAGAGGAATGTAGACTCTTGAATGCTCCTCCTGTCCCACCACGCAACTCAAAGCCAACATCTACTAGCCCTTCTATTCCTCCACGGATGAGCAAACCTGTGCAGCAGCAAACTCGTTCTCCTAGTCCAACACTTTCATATTATTCATCAGGACTGCATAATATGTAAGTATTGAGTACTTTCTTTTCAAAGTCAGTCTAATGATGTATGGTTCAAGTGCGGAGCTGAGAAAGCACAGGTGTAAATCCCACCTAACAGTGGAGCTCATTATCTCTCAGCCTAAGCTAGTTCACAGGATTGTTGCTGTGAAGAGAAGTAAACAGAATTCTCCCCCTGCACATTCACAAATGGAAGAAAATTGGGATAACAAATAATTAATAGAAAATGGATGATTGCAATAACTGAGAAATAAAGAATCAGAGAGTTGGAAGGGGCCATTAGACCATTAAATCCAGTTCTTTGTTCATATCCTCCCAAATTTGTTAACAGAGTCATGCAAAATATATATGATAAATCTAAATAGATAAAACAATTGTAGCAATTATATATTGATAGGCAGACAAAAATGCCAAATCTTATCTGAACATATGGCTGACTATGCAAAGAACCATAATCATAATATGTACACTATTGCCATGGACCTTAACCTTATTGGCATGTGGAACTGTAAGGAAAGCTATCTATTCAAATATAGACTTTCGCTTACACAGAAATAGATGTCATTATAACCTCTGAGGGTGTAATTATTAGATTGCAGAAAACTGTGCAATCTAGTGGACTTGAGTATGGATGATGATTACACTTTCTTTTTATAAAATGGATTGCATATTTGACATAAATATTTGTCCATCATATGCAACCTGATACTAATAAAAGGAAAACACTTGCCAGGAAAGTTGTTAAATTTGTCCTCTCTGAAAAAAATGTCTGTATAATGGAAGCACTGTATAGATACTGTTTTACATTAATCCGGTGCTATTTTATATATAAAATAACAGAATTCTAAAGTGACTACTATTAACTACAAAAGTTATATACTAATTCTGTCACTTCTTTTTTAATTATCTCAAAGCAGCACCACAGAAGGAGATGCTGAAAACTCTTCTGAGATTATTCCTGTAACTTGTTATCCGTGTGTTATGGGGAAAAAAGACCTGCAAGAAGTTGACAACAAATTGCCTTTGGGAAGCCCGTCTGCTGATGCTTTGTTCTCTAGACTTTCATGGCCAAATCATTTTTCTGGAGCTGCTGAAGGCCTTACTAGGAGTGAGTTTCTGTTGGATCCAAGCAGAAGTTATAGCTATCCAAGGCAGAAGACTCCCAACACACCAAAGAGAAGTTGTCCAGCACCTTTTACATTCAATTTTGACAGAAATGAAGTCTCTGCAGGGGATGTACCGCCAGCTACAACTGAGGTAGAATGCACCATGCCCAGTTGCCCAAAATCAGCAAGTTACTCACTTGAATATACCGATGAAAAAAGTTTGGCAGTAAGTGGTACATTGCAGTCACTTTCTTGCCCTGCCTTACCCCCTCGTGCACCAAAGATGGTAGAGGAGAAGCCAGGGTTTGACTTGTGTCCCGGGTCTCTCAGAATAGATGGTGCTGAGGAGGATCCTCTCAGGAGCTCTCCAGACCTTTCTGAAGACCAGTATCTGGGTAAAAAAAGCATGCAAGACCTCTTCTCAGTTTCTTATTCTTTCTCATCACCCCTTCATCTTCAGTTAGCACCAAGATCTTGTGGTGATGGTTCACCATGGCAGCCACCCGTAGATCTGTCTGGGCTTTCCATTGAAGAAGTATCTAAGTCTCTGCGATTTATAGGCTTATCCGAGGATGTCATAACACTTTTTGTTACTGAAAAAATTGATGGCAACTTGCTTGTCCAGCTCAATGAAGAGATCCTTTCTGAGGACTTTAAACTCAGCAAACTACAAGTTAAAAAAATATTGCAATTTATTAATGGCTGGAGACCTAAAATGTAGTGCTGACCAGTTCAACAAAATGAACTGAAGTATGCTGAAACTAACTCACAATCTACCATTTTTAATTTTTTATTGCACTAAGTCCTTCCTTCCTTCCTTCCTTCCTTCCTTCCTTCCTTCCTTCCTTCCTTCCTTCCTTCCTTCCTTCCTTCCTTCCTTCCTTCCTTCCTTCCTTCCTTCCTTCTGTAAATAGTAGGAGAAAAACAGTAATTACTATGCAGATAATTTTGGGTGTTAAGCAAACACTTTTGTACATAATAGAAGGATAAAGGTGTGCCTTTTGCATCCCTGAACATTCAACAGCTGCTAAATAGTGGACATTAAAGGGAATTAATTTGTTCTCATGTAGTCTAGTGAGACATATTTATTACTATGGGTTAGCAAAACTGGTGCACAAATCAGTTATTTTTATTATTTTTATTATTGCATTTCCCTGTAATCTTTTTTTCTTTTTGGGTTCTTATTTTAATAATTATAGTCATTGCCTTCTGTTTTTATTGGTTGAACAGAAAGTGTCAAATATTCCATCTCTGCACTTTGTTCTTGTTGTAGATTCATTTTTATAAGATTCCCAGGTTGTAATAAATAATGGATCCATATTTCAATGCAAAAATAAAAAATAATAAAATCCACCACAGTCTTGGCAGATAGATTCTTGCACCCAACAGGAGGTGATTTTTTTTTACATAGCATACCATTAATGAAAAGAAAGCGGTAAAGGCTTTTGATGTCTAGTAGGCGCATAAGATTAAGAATATACTATTTTAATAATTTCAAAGATAATAGCTCGGTGTCAACCAAGAGCAGAATAATTGCATTTAAACGTTTTTCTAACTACTTTTCAAACTATTGAAATATTTACATATATTCTGAGCAAATGGCAATGCCTTAGTTTAATTTGGAATAATTGGTAAAGATCATTATCTCCACTGTTTATGTATAAAGTACATTTAAAATTAGAATGGATATTAGAGTGAATTTAAAGTTCAGTTGTAACTTCAGTTAAAGAAGTAAGAAACTGAGTGATTCAATGATTTCTTCCTGATGATTCATATTCTTTTTTTCCTTAATATTCTTAAAAATGCATACAATTAAGGAAGAAGAAAACCTGATCTATTAATCTAAATTAAAAGAATCCACATTCCAAACACTAAACCTGTCTAATCAAAATGAAACAGAATAATTTTCTTAAAGCATTTTTTTGCTTAGGAGAATAAAAATGATGTATGTATATTATAAATTTTTGGTATATCTGACATGCATTTGATTAAGCGGCAGTGGATGTTAATCTATTTACCCCATATTTGTTTTGACTGTAACAGACTTAAAATTGGACAAACCTCAAGCTTTTGGAATTTATTTTAGAGAAATCCTGAGATTCAGCATTGCTGGAGGACTTGTACTAAATATATTATAATATTGTGCTTCTGAGCACATGTTTAGTCCACATACTTTTTCCTCTCCAAGTATTCTTTATCAGGAACCCATTATGGTAGAGGGCAGAGGAAGTTATTAAGCAGTTGGAAACCAGAAACTGTCACCAATCAATGACAGTTTAAAACCAAAGATCTACTAGAACATCTCAATCTACTTTCTGTTCCCACCTATCATGTTCAGCAAAAAAACTAATATCTCTATAAGGGAAAATGGGTCTAATGTACCACCACTCATTCCTTTGCATATTTAACTATTAAATAGCAAGAATAAATGATTCCATGTATGTACTTTAAGTAAAAAAAACTATACACTCTCCCATCTCTTTATGGCCTTGTTGCAATATTTCTGAATGTGATATTTGCATTTGTTTTTCATCTGTTATCCTTGTATCAGGATACTATAAGGCTTGTTTGGAAACCTGACAGAAGACTGCATACCATATATGAGAGGAAGAAGCTATGTTTTGGCCATTAGAAGAAAATTGTGACCTTTATAATCTGACACACACACATACACACACACAACTTGGCAAATTCAAACAGTCCTAATTCAGCAAACTGTATAAAGAAAGTGATTTGAAAGTTAATGCCTTTAAAATTAATGGATGTTGGAGCCCATTTGCATAGAACTTTTTGGTATGAACAGGCCAGCAGTGCAATTTGATTTTCAGAAAGGTGTGAATAATTTGGCTATATGCAGACAATCTTAGAAATTTCTATGATATAATGTCTATCAGAAATCATACTTTAGTCCCAAAAGTGCTATGTACATGCAAGAAAGGAATGGTTTGAACTATTATCCTATTGATTGTGTTACATAATAGGATTATGCCAAGATGAGAGCTTCTAGGATGGGTAATAGGAAATAATTAACCGTAGGGTCTTCTTACACTAGTATCACCACCTCAGATTGGGCTCTGGTGCTAATAGGGCCTGTAAAGGCCTGTGATGAGAAGAAACATGGAGAAAATGAAGGAAATCCAGAACAATGAGTACTGCAAATTTCTAGATCAAGGTTCAGGGCAGGAGGGAATGAAGACATATAGACTGTTGCAGTAAGTAGAGACCAGTAGGGATCAACCTAATAACTGCAATATCCAGAGAGAGGAACTGCTAAATGTTCAATAAGTGAAGGTGACATGCTTTCACAGTTGCTGCTATAAATAGCAGAAGAAAAAGCATAACTAGCATAATCCTGATGTTCCTGATGATCAACACTGGAACTAGCTCAGAGCGGCTGAACAAGCAAAGGGAGAGATCTCATAACTCAGTTTGAAGTAGCAGGATCTTTATCAATTCCCACCCTGGTACATTGATCTTTCTTGCTCCTTTATCTTCCCTTCCAGAGGCTGAATTCGAGGTTTTAACTTATAATTGTCCACTGCCTGGATATATGTAATAATACTAGTCAGTTGTAAGATTAGTTGTGGTATTCATATGCACGGGGACTCTATGCAAGGAATGGTGCTAATTCTTGAAACCCTGTCCATTTATACAAAGACTCTAGTAACTTCTAACTGAATAGTATGTCCAGACTGGAACAATGTGAGACCACGCACTTGTACAGGTTACCATAACTTTCTTGTGCTGTTATGCAAATACTTTGAAGAAGGAAAAATATTCTTGTTGATTTCCTCATAGAGTGAATCATCCTGGACATATTTAGACACCATCTAATATCTGGTTCGAAAAATGATTGTGATGAAAACGATTAGCTGAAAATACAACATGAAAAGTTTGCTTTAGGCAGAGCTTTGAATATACTCTTGCTATTGAATCCCACAGTAGAGGATTTTGCAGAGGAAACACTTTATAATAATTCCTTAGACCTGAATACACAATGTTATACCACAGGACTTCAAGTGGATTTCCTTATACCTGTAGGAGAATGGAACCAGGGGAACTAATGCCAGCTATGTGTCTGCATTGTCATCGATAATCAAATGCCTAAACTATAATGCATTGTGTTGCAGAATTTAACAAAATCCCTCAGGGTTGTCCATTCAGCAGTGGCCCACTAATGAAAAGAATTCCTATTTTTACCTTCAATCTATTCTAGAAATGCATTCAATCTTTCAAGACAGATTCTAAGGATGCATTAAAGAGAAAACGAAGATACAGAACTCAGGAACACACATGAACACTATATAGCAGCAAAGAGATTCAAAAATCTCTTAACGTGTTGCTGTCATATTTTGGCAACTGGAGGCTTCAAATCAGTGTTGACTCCTGGCAACTACCTGGACAACTTGCTGCAGTTTTCTTGGGAAGATTTTTAGAAATAGTTTGCCATTGCCTTCTTTCTAGGACTGGGAGAGAATGACTAGCCCAAAGTCACCCAGCTGGTTTCATGCCTAAGGCAGGGCTAGAATTTGTGGGTTTCCTAGTATCTTGGTGCCTTAACTACTATGTTAAACTGGCTCTTTTAGATAACTTAGTGGTTATCTAACTTCTTGCAGCCCAGATCTAAATCATTCCCTATGAAAGGTATATTTATTTCATGAGATGAAATCCATTTGTGCAAAGCTGGATGTACAATCTTAATAATGTTTTCCAAGAAATAAATTTGTTTGAGTTAGAAAATATTATGGACTTTGATAATGATAGGTATTCTTCTAAGTATGCATATACTGTAATACAGAGATAATGACAAACTGCTAATGGTAAAAAGAAAAAAAATCTAATAGCTTTCTCCAATCTGGAAAATGTATCATATTCCATACATTTTGAGATTAGTCACAATGGCTAGAAATTTTGAAATTTTAGGTGCTATAATATCTGGAGGACCTCTGGTAAAGAAGAACATCTTACAGAATGCCTGATGTATAGTATACTTTTACATATGTCATATTGCAAGTGGTTCAATAGAATTAGAAAGAGTGGATCAATGTAATGGTTAAAGTTATCCTGAAATAAAATAACAATGTATGATTTTATAGATTCCTACGTAGCAGGTCTCACTCCTCAAAACTGCAATATTATAAAAAACCTTACTGTCACTTCCTCCCCATTCCCCCATATAGTATTTCAAACACAGTATTTAAGGCACAGTGGAGAATAGTGATGCATTGAGTCATTCCTGAAGGGGCATGGAATTCTCTTTCATGAAATGCATGCTATTAGTCTGAAGACTGAATAGGTCTTGGTTAGTTTGATTAAAAGATAGCTTAGCATTACCCATTCCAGATCATAAAAATCTTGTGTCTTATCTAAATCATCCCAAAGGTTTATTAGAAGCTTGAAATAAGCAAATTCATAATTTTACAATTACTCAGTTAAGTTCACAGCCTCTGAGAAATTAGAGGAGGATATATAATTATTAAAAATGAGGAACAAACAGCATCTAAAGTAAAAACAGATTTAAGTTACACAAATCCAATTTCACACTGGAATAAAGAACTGGCAACAGTATTCAGAAACTGTTTGACTGCATTGTAGCTACTTCCTAAAGCAAAATGAATGAATGGTGTTTAGGATGCCTTATGCATATATCCCTACTCAAAGTTGTGTTATGTTTGGAACAATTGCAATTTAAACATCAATTTCCAAAACTTATTTTTTAAATGCAAATTGTAATTTACCTTTCAGTAGAAAAATGATACTAGAAAACAAGCACCTGTGGCATCTCTCATTCATAAAAAGAAGCTGAAAGCTAAGTGGGATATAAAAGCCTTGCAAATATATTTAGGACAGAAGTTTTTGTCTTAATTAGCAATGGATTTAATTTGTGAATAAAGAAATTTGTTGGGCTGGGTATAAAATTATTTTATTCGCACTATATCAAAAAGCTTCTAGATTCCATACTACTATTCAGTTTCATGTTTCTAAGAAATGTTTCAGAACAAAATTGACTTAGTAAGAATATTCATTGTTACATTTGTGAAATTTGTGCTGGTCTATATATCTCCATTAAAATGTTAAGATAAAAAACAATTATTTAAACCAGGAGTAAAGAATTAACGCTATAACGTATATAAAGACATGTCAGTATTGTATTGTAAGTATATTTGTTTATTAAAGATACTATTTTCATGATACTTATGCAGAGTTTATTCATTTGACAAAGTGCCAAATTAGAATATACAATATTTGTAACCAAAGTTCTGGATTCGTGGCTGAAACAGCTGTAGTGAGCAACTGGTTTAGTTTCATGTTGATTATTGCCACTACACAGTTACTCAGCTTGCAGTGCTTCATTAGTAACTTTTGCTGGTTGGAGGAGCTGTTACTTAACACATGTGTGAAGCAACAGCTTCCCCATCCTGCTTTGACTTTTTTTCTTCCTAGGTAAGCAAAGGGTTAGGAGAACATTTGCAAAGCTGCCTAAGCATTTGTTAGATACATTTGCTCTTATTTGCTTAGAGCTGAACTCTTTCTGAGCTTGCACCTATGGCAATAACTGAGGATTAGTCTTGCTTGTTTATCTGGGATGAGTTTTAAACCTTTAGTTCTGAGGAAGCAGCAGAGTCCTTAAGATGTCAAATTCTACCACCTGTGTTCTAGATCCCTGTCCTTCCCGGTTGGTCAAGGTCTTCCATGAAATGTAGCTGGGTCCAAGCAGTGGTGAATGCTTCTTTACAGGAGGGAATGCTCCCACATGTTCTAAAGGAGTTAGTGATCCCTTCCTGCTTAAGAAGTCATCACTGGACTCCTCAGTACTGGATAATTTTCTTTGGTCTCCAGCTATTTAAAGTTTCAGATAATATAATGAAAGCCATGAAAGATTTTTCTGAGCAATGCTTTTTGGAAAATTTCTGTATCCAAAAAAATATAAACAGTCTGGACATTTGACACTTTTTTTTCCAGTTTTGCTCTCATGGAGCTAAATCAGCCTTATTCCATAGGATGCTGAGAAGAATGAAGAGAATGGGACATCGGCTGAAGTTTGGTGGGCTCAAGACACAAAAAAATCCAGACAACACATACAAGCATTTACATACATATTATTACTCACTACTCGCCACTACTGACTCTTCTCCATTCTCCCACAGTTACTCCTGTTACTGCTCCTCCTCCTCCTCCTCCTCGTGAGTACTACTACATAAAACTTCCATTTCTTGCTGATTTCTGCTGCTTGCTTCTACACACATATCTCCTTCCCTTTTCTCTCTACCATATTCTTTAGAATCCCTGGGGGTTCAGTTCACCTCACTCTGGGTTTGTCAGCCTTTTGTAAGGCTTTCTCCTTCTAGGACATCCAACTTGGGATGGCTAGGAAGGATCCCAGGATCCTTCCCTTCCTCTCCATCCTCAACTTCACCTTAGATTGGGCTCTTGAAGTACCCTTCCCCCCCCCCCAGCCTCCTTGAATCTTTTATCTGGGTCCAACCTTCAGTAAGTGGGAAATTATTCCAATGAATAGGTTACATAGTAAGTTAGGAATTACTTCTACCACTATTACTGAGGAGTCCAGTAATGACTTCATGAGGAATGGATTACTGTCTCCTTTAAAACAGATGGGAGCGTTCCCTCTTGTAAAGGAGCATTCATTTCCTGGTGCCTAAACTCTGGCTTTAATCAATCTGCCCAAACTGGTAAGGAGCTCTTTTCCCATAGAAGCTGCCTTTTTAATGAAATAAGGACATACTAACATCCGTTTACTCCCAGTAACTACTAGGTCCCTTACAATGACCACATTAAGTTTTGCTGAGGTCACAATTTTTCTTCCCAAAAGTGCTTGAATAACTGCAGAATAACTTTTTCCCTGGCTTTTCCCACAATTGTAACAACTATGGATCTCTTCAGCTTCCCAATACTTTCATTTAAGCAGGAGGTAAAGGCTTCTTTACACCTCTCTTCTTTGACTTTTCCAGCTTTTTATGGTTCCTACTTTCCGGAACAGACTATTTTTTCTTCTTCTGTATTTTCCTTCCAAAGATCCTCTGATCTTTTTGCTATTAGTAATCTTTTACTCCCCTTTGACCTGTTTCTGGGTGGTATTCTTCCACTCAAAAACTCACTTTAGTAGAGAGTACATGTAGAAATTGTTCTAAAATTTTCTATACCACTTTTTCTTTGCTCCTTTCATCTGGCTTCAAATTTTCCTACCTATATCTTCCAATCTTGCTCACAATTCATAAATCCCTTCAAGTTTGCCATATGTAATAGCTCCTAAACTTCTGCCTATAGATATGAGTTACACTATGCCTGCCTAGAATTACCTCTTTAATATGGTAATAATCCATTACTTCCCTCACTGGAAGATTTCTATAAGCTCTTAAAGCCTGTCCTGTTAAACATGGAATTAAAATGGCCATCCATTCACTCTCAGACCAATTACAAGAGGTAGCATTTTTTTTTTTCAAACATAGTAAAGTAGGCTTTCCTCTTGCTGTTGCTTCAGCACTTCTGGAATGATATTGGCTCAAATAATTGAGCCTAACCCTTTTTCTGACTGGTCTACCATCTTCTTTGGCTTAACTATGGGCATAGGGTGGATACTCATCATTATCAAAGTAGTAGTCTCCATGTCTGAGGGAGAATCTGCTCCATTTACCTTTTCCATCCTTGTCTGGTATAGGCTCTAGTAAGAAATCTGGTTTTTGCAGTCAAGATGTTGGCTATTGCCTGCAAAGTCTAATTTCTGTGTGGGCCAAACTCTTTCCAGCTAGGTTTTTCCTTTTCATACATACATTCATATTTAATGAATTTTTTGAGTTTGAGCCAATGCCATCTGTTTTGGATAGCCCACTGCTGCCACCTCTTTGTCACAGGTTCTTTTCAAATACTGTATATCCAATTTGGTGGGGTTGAGGCACAAAAGAGCCAACCCCACCACATGTCCCTAAGCAAAACACATAAGCACTCACATCCTCATATACTATTACCCACTATTCACTCTTCTCCACTCTTCCCCCAAAGCTGTTCCTACTACTGCTCTTAGTGAATACTGCTAGAGAAAAATGTCCCTTACAGTTTGTGATGTTTACTTTCAGATACAAACACATCCCTCCTTTTCTCTCCCCACACACACACACCCTCAATTGTTTCCCCACACACACACACCCTCAATTGTTTCCGCAGCCAAGCTTTTATAGTCAATGTGATGCCGCTGGGAGGGGGAAGGCTTAAAGAGAAGGGAGGAAAACAGTACAGGTGCTGGCAATTTTCTGGGCAGCCTGCTCTCTCACAAAGTAAAAGAACTCTTGGGATGCATGATGGTACACAAAGTAAAGCCCTCCCTGAAAGCCCATTTGAACTTTTTTTCCAAAACAGTGAAGGCAGCCAAAGGCACTGATTACGTCTCCTACTTGCAGTGAACAAATTCTTCTTCCATTCTGTGTTCTATATTTTAAGGTGTGCAAAGAGAAAGACAAAATGGTGGCTGAAGTGCTGTGAACAATTTGCCTTGCTCTTTGTGGGCAAAGATGAATTGGATGCCAGAGTTGGGTCAGGACATAGTTACTTTGGATTCTTGCCATTTATACTGAGGATCTGGACAAATTGCATAGAAGGATGAGGACTACAATCTGCTAATTCAATCCTTGCCCACCTGATTAAATTTGTCAAGATTTAAGCATAGTTAAGGGAGGTAACACCTCCTTGTAAGAGGAATGTGTTGTTTCCTGCCAAGGAAGGAAGACATAGATCTTTTATTGAAGAAATTCTCCCTTAACTGGGATGACCTGAACAATTAGCTGAGAAAAAAGGTCAAGGAGGTTGATTCACAGTTTCAGTTGTGTGTAAATGACAATGAACGTTCTGAATGTATTTCACTACTGGTTTCAGCCAGAATTCAGCTAAAAATCTGCTTTTGTTATTTTGATGAATGATAGCAGCTTTCCAACCATTGACCATGGTATCTTTCTGGATCATCAGCTTTATGTGATTCCAGCCTTTCTTTACAACATATGTAGAAGTTGGTGCTGGAGGACCACTGTTCAGCATGAATCTATGATATACATTGTTCAATAGGAGTCCTCCAGAGTTCTATCTTGTCCTTCATGCTGTTCAATATATATATATACATGAAACCACTGGGGGATATCCTTGGAGTTTTAGACCATATTGTCATCAATATGCTGATATTCAGCTCTACTGTTTCTTATCACCTGCTTGGAACCACTGCATTTCAGTCTGTATCCAAAGCAAACCCATTTTGGTCCACATAACTATCAAAACATTTTAGTTTGGACATGGATCACCCTAACTTAGCTGTTCTTTGCATGAAATAATCTGTGCATATTTTGCACATTCTTACCTATAATACATAACCAGTAGAGCATCCTTGCCAGTGAAGACTGTATTGAATACAATAGCCTCTAGTCTCCAATTTAGAGTACATCATTCTCATGGAATCTCTTGTAAAGCAGCAATAGCCTTTTCACATTTATTCTGTTTCTCACACCGAATGCCTAGCGCCAAATCTCTAACTGTGGAAGATTATGTGCCAGGAAAAACAGCTGTTTTGGACTTGGAGGCAATTTTTGCCCAAACTGCTCATTAGTCTTTTCAAAAGGGTTGTACTGAATTTTTCTGTGGCATGTTTCTCATCTTCCTTATTCAGCTGTGTGAAAAACTTATTTTTTTTCTTTTGTATCCCCAAAGGAATAAGAAAAAAAATCAGTGAAATTCTCATGGAGGTGTTATGGATTATTTATTTATTTTATTAATTATAAAATCATGGAAGGGTGTGTGAGAGGGACTGTCCTGTCTTGTAGACAATCTTCTCTTCAGCAGGCTGCATCATTTCTGGCTTCTCACCTTCCCCCTAAATCTCAAAGGAAGATGGGAAAGAAGGTTTTTTTTTTTTTTCAGATTTGGATGGGTAGGCAGGAAGAATATGTAATGGTTAAAAAAAAACTACACCTCCCCCACCCCCCAAATTGAAAGCACTCTATGAATATGGCAAAGGCCTCTTATATAAGGGAAAAAGGGTTCTGGGGGATTGAAAGACAGATTTTAGCACAATATTATGAGAAAGTATACTTCTAGCAATAGAAGATTGATGACATTCCTCTATAATGAGCACATTGTGTTTAACAAAGTTTGGAAGGGGATCAATTGCTTTCAGATTTACTTTAAACATGCTGATGGC